AGGTCGGTGTCTCCCAGGCGCAACAAAACGCGCAAGGACGCTAAGAGGGTAAGCTAGGTCTGGGTGAGTACAGGTCATGAGGTACATGAGACACCCCACCAGCTCAGGATATGGACCGCTGGACTCAAATGGCTCGTGCGAAGGTGGAGCCGTGAGCCCATGATCCTCAGCAAGAGGGGTGGGCTGTACCTTGGAGAACGGGAAGCGAAACCGCGTGAGGATCTGCTCGACCATATGCGACTGAGTCAGCGTAATGGTGCGAGCTGCCGGTAGCGCTGCAGCTCTCCAAGGTCAGTGCAAGTGTGTCTCCTCTGCAGTTCCTCCTTCACGGAGGCCAGTGCGCGTCGGTCGGGAGTGGCGAAGACCAGGTCGTCAACGTAGATCAGAACAAAGAACGGGGTCGAGCCACGGCGGACAAACAGCGACGGTTCGGCAGATGACGAAAAGAAGTCAAGCGCTGCAAGAGTCGTACGTAGCGTGTCGTGCCACTCGCGGGGAGCTTGGCGCAGGCCGTAGACCGGTCGACGCAGCTGCCACTGGGTCCCAGGAGGGAAAGAGACAGTGAAGCCAGGCGGACGACGCAGCCAGATATGCTCGTGCAGGCTCCCCTGAAGGAACGCTGTGGAGAAGTCCAAGGAGTGCAACTCGTAGTCGCGCTGTGCTGCAATATGCAGCAACACCCGGAGAGTGGTCATCTTCGGGGTGGGAGCGAAGGTCTAAAAGAAGTCTACCCCCTCTCGGTGAATGAAGCCTCTCGCCACGTAGCACGCCTTGAACACGGGTGGTGCTCCAGGCGGCCGCTTCACCTTGTAGAGCCACATGCCACAGACAACGTTCGCCTCAGGTGGTGGGACGGCGTCGACATAGGTGCCTCTGGACCTATAAGATGCCATCTCTGCCTCCTCAACTGCGATCCAGTACGAAGCCCAAGGTCTCGAGACTGCCTCAGCATGAGTGCGAGGGATCGGGATGTCAAGGGCGTCTGGATCCCCCTCAGGGGCAAGCAGCATGGCGCAGAGATGAGGAACAGTGGCCGCAAGGAAACCAAGCTCGAACTGCCTGTCCTCCAGGACCTCCAAGGGAAAAATAGGAGCACCCCCAGAGGACGGAGAACGAGCAGTGCCACTCACCAGGTGAGCGGCGTAGTCAAGGCGGTGGGAAGAGGCAAAGGCAGTGACAGTAGTGACAAGGGCCGAAACAGACAGCGGAGGGGCAGTCGGGTGAGTGACCAACGCGGACAGAACACGGGAGACAACAGGGCGAGAGGCACGGAGGTAGTCAGACAACGGGTCATGAAACACAGTAAGGGATGACTCAGGAGGCTGTGGAAGGACAGGAGGAGGTGGAACACGAGAGCGAAGAACAAGGTGAAACGGGCCATCAGCACGGTAACGGGACTGGGGAGGCTCTGGGGACACAGCACGACTGAGGGGAGAACGACGAGTCCACTGAGACGAGGAAAGGGACTCGACAGGGGGAACAGGAGAGGACGGTAGGGGACCACGAACCAAGCGTGCAGGTGCTGAGTCGGGCAGGTCTCTGAGTCGCTGGTGCTCCGCCTCCTCTGGCGACTGCTGCTGCAACACGTGCCCCCGCTGCTGCTCCTGTGGCTCCTCCTCTGTTCTCTCCCGCTGTGGCTGCAACAACACCTGCTGCGGCGGCCGGGACTCCTGCACTACTCTCTCCTGCTGTGGCTGCAACTGCACCTGCTGCTGCGGTCAGGACTCCTACTCTACTCTCTCCTGCTGTGGCTGCAACTGCACCTGCTGCTGCGGGCGAGACTCCTGCTCTACTCTCTCCTGCTGTGGCTGCAACTGCACCTGCTGCTGCGAGCGGGACTCCTGCTCTACTCTCTCCAGCTGTGGCTGCAACTGCACCTGCTGCTGCGGACGGGACTCCTTCTCTACTCTCTCCTGCTGTGGCTGCAACTGCACCTGCTGCGGCAGTCGTAACTCGTGCGCTACCCTCTTCTGCTGCGGCTGCAACTAAACCTGCTGCTGTAGTCATGACTCCTGCTCTACGCTCTCCTCACGCTCCGACTGAGACTGGAGCTGGTGCTGCTGCTGTTGCCATTACTCCTCCTTTACTCTCTCCTCGTGCGGCAGTGACTCCTCCTCTACTCTCTCCTGACGCTCCGACTGAGACTGCTGCTGCTGCTGCTGTGCCCTCTCAAACCGCTCACGCTCCTCCCTCTCCAACCTGTCTAAACGCTGCACGCGGGTCAGGAAACGTACAGTGCGCGGCGTAGGCGTCGCAGTGCTCGTGTCTCCGGCTCCAGCACTCCTAGAACCAGAACCTCCACGGACAACACCCCCAAGGACTCCAGTACCTCCTGCAAGAACACCCCCAGGCTCCGCAGCGACCGGCCGCGAAGGCGAACGAGGAAGGAACTGCGGAACAGACGGGAAGCCAGGGGTTGAGGCGGGGCGAGGCCGCTGAGTCGAGTCAGCCGTTGGCCTTTCTCTCACACCCCCTGCACCCCCAAAGCTGGCACCACGGGCTCTTGCAGCCCCAGTACCCTCACCCTCCGCAACTACCCCTCCTGCACCGCCAGACATGACAGGGACTGGACGCTGCGAGGGGGACGACAGCAGAGTGACGTGCGACACACCTGACGGGGCAGGACGCGAAGGGGGGGAGGGAGGGGGGGGGGGGGCTACCGGGGCGACTTGAGGGGGGGTCAGTGGTGAGGAATAGCGGGGGGGGGGAAGGTCTCAGAACCTCGGTGGGGGCGATTCCTGTGGTAACTGACCGACTCGTCGATAGTGGCGTCATGGGAACTGAAGAACTGGTAGGTAACCGGATTGTAGAACTGCCAGCCGGAGGTGTCGACTGGGAAGCCAAGAAAGACGCAGGCATGGGTGCGCAGAGACAACTTGTTCGCGCCAGGGGTGTGAATGTGGGTCAGGGAACCCTAGATGCGGAAGCCAGCTACTACACCCGGAGAACCTGTCCAAAGGGAGACCGGGGTCACCCGTAGCCGTGCGTCACTAGGCCACAGGTTCAGCTGGTGCGCGGTGTAGCGGACTGCCTGAGGCCACAGGAACTGGGGGGCACCGGCGTGGCGCATGGAGGTCCGTGCAACCTCCATGACTTGGACAATGCGTCGCTCGGCTACCCCATTCTGTTGCGGCGAGTCTGGTAACGTGTAAGACTGGATGATTCCCCGAGCCTTACAAAACGTCTCCAGGCGAGTGGAAGAAAACTCACCACCACGGTCCGAGTGTAGGTGGAGCCCACAAAGGGTCTGGGCGTCACCCCTCGCTAGTAGCCACGGCTCGAGGACGGTAGGCACTTCGGCCTTCCGTCGCAAAGGTAAAACCGTGGTGTAGCGGGGGTAGTCGTCCGCCACAATCAACAAGTAGCGCTCCTGACATGGGCCACGGACCGGGGAGGGGCCCCAGACGTCCAAGTGAAGGGTCTGGAAGGGAGCCGTGGTGGGGGGGAACAACGAGGAGTGAGGGGCAGCGTGCTGCCGAACCTCGATGTAGGGAGTGCACGGCGGCGCAGGCGAGCGAGGACGCGGGGCAAGCGACTCTGGGAGACCTGAGACCAGACGATGACGTACCATCCTACTGAGACGTGGGAACGACGGGTGACCTAGACGGTGGTGCCAAAGAACCGATGGATGGGTGAGTGACCGACAGTCGCACAACATAGCAGCTACCTGACCTGACCTGACCCTGTGTGGTGGGACCCAGTGTGTAGTGAGTACAGACCAGAACCCGGATCCCTGTGGAAAGTGACCAGAGGCACTCCAGTGGCACCGACTGTGCAGGAGGCAACTGGCTCGTCTAGAGGGAAAGTAGTGACAACTCTAAGGTCGTGGAGGTGACTGACACCCACCAGGTTCCTAGAGAATGAGAGGGTGTAGTAACCTGTGAGAAACCCAGAGGGAGCCGTCGGACACGGGAGAATGGTGGTGCTGTGGGCAACTACAGATCCCACAGAGGGGTCAGCCAAGGCGACAGTGACTAGAGTGTGCAGTGGTGTGAGGTCGGTGTAGTCGCGAAAGAAACAGCTAGACACTCCATAGTCTAGAGTGAAGGAATGCTGTCTAGTCAGTGAGGTCGCACCCGAGCCAGCGACAAAGGCTGGGAGTAGACTAGTGGTAGCTGCAGCTCCGACACTAAGAACTTGAAAGGCGCCTGGACTAGAAACTAAACAAGCACCAAGACTGGAAACACAAGTCTCAATCTGAACTGCAGCTCCCACGTACCGGTATGTGTACTGGCCGGGTCCGACAGGGCCCCGCGGTGGAGGCTGCCGCTGGCGCTGCTGCTGCTGCTGCTGCTGCGGTGGAGGCTGCCGCTGGCGCTGCTACTGCTGCGGCCACAGGTGCTGCGGCCACGGCTGCTGCCGCGGCCAGAGCTGCTGCTGCGGCCACTGCTGTTGCGGCCACTTCTTCTTCTGCGGCCACTGCTGTCGCGGCCACTGCTGCTGCAACGGCCACCGGTGCTGCTGCCACTGCTAATGCTGCTGTCGCCACATCAACATGGCACGCTAGTAAGGGGGGGTAGGGGCTATTTGAGGCAGCAATACGAGTGGTAGGATGGCCTAAAGCTAGTGGAAGCAACTTAGAGAGAGAGAGAGAGAGAGAGAGAGAGAGAGAGAGAGACACCTAGCCTCTGTCCTCTCCCTTTGCCCTCTGCCCTCTCCTCTGTGAGCTACTTAAGAGGCCTTCTTGGCCTCCACTCCTCATTGTTCGGTGGGTTCATAATTTTTCGCTCGTTCGAGGAAGCGAGAGAGAGAGAGAGACACCTAGCCTCTGTCCTCTCCCTTTGCCCTCTGCCCTCTCCTCTGTGAGCTACTTAAGAGGCCTTCTTGGCCTCCACTCCTCATTGTTCGGTGGGTTCATAATTTTTCGCTCGCGCCGGCCGCCTTCGGGGACGGCAAGTGAAGACGCACACGAGTGACTATAAGCAACGGCATACAAGCGATGGCATTCCCTACGTCAGCCTAGACAAGTGAAGCGCCCATGGGGCAACCGGAGCCCGCGTCTACATGCGGTGAGCTCCAAGGGCGTGAAGAACGCCCGTCAGGGAGCGCCACAGCACAAGCGTGCTTGCGCCGATCGCCGCGGCTCCAGATCCAGCGCGCAAGTGCCGCCTCAGGCCCCGGACAGCCTCGTCAAGCTGTCCCGCGGCAGCAGCGCCTCCCTCCGCGGGCGCAGCCAGCACGGGCGCCAGCAGCACCGCGAGCTGGTCCGCCGCGTCCAGGCAAGAATCACGCTGGCGGCCACGGAACGTCTCAGGAGGGATCACAGGGAGAGACGAGTGGGCCAGCACCTGAATCAGCAGCAGAGCATGGAGACTGTCGGCGAGGCGGTGTAGCTGTCCGAGTGTTGCCTCGGGAACACGGGTCTGCAGAGGCTGGAGTGCCTCCGCCAGGAACTGGAGCGGCTCATCAGCATCAGCTGGGAGAGCAAACGGAGCCGCCAACGAGCCGCCACCCGCGGCCACAAACTCCACTCCCGCTACGGGCGGAACCGGTGGCAGAGAGAGACGGGAGCCGGGAGCAGGCGCCGATACAGCGGGAGAAGGAGCTGGCGGCGCCAGGATCTGAGGAGGAGGCGCAGCAACAGGCTGCGAGTTCGGGGGGAGCGCAGCCGGACGAGGAGCCTCGTGGGCCGGCGACGCGCGCAGCGAACCGGTCTGGCTATGCGCCGCCCTCTCCTCCCGAACCGCCCTCGAAACTTCCCGCTGAAGATCCGCCATCGTCACGGGCGGGCGATACCCCCCACCCCCGCCACGAGCACGGGGACCCCTCCAATCCCCCTGGCCCCCGTGGTGAGCGGGCCAGTGCGGCTGTTGCTGGTACCGCCGTGGAGACTCACGCCGGCGACGAGACGATTTGCGTTCCTGTTGGGGAGCGGGGGAATGAGGGCGCGACGAGCGACGGTCAGGTGATGGAGGGCGTGACGGGTGGCCTGCCGGAGCCACCGCCGTCACAGCAGGGGCGGACTGGCCCGCCGCCGCAGGCGCAACCGATGGAGCTGGCTCGCCAGTGGTGGCGGACGCCGCCTTTGGTGACGAAGCAGAGGCAGGCGCAGGCAAGCAGGGGACAGAAGCGGTCGGCGCAACAGGGGCGCCAAGGACAGGTGCAGGGGGCTCAGCAACACCCCCAGCAGGGGCAGACGCCGACGGCTCGACAAGGGGAGCCGGTGGGCCAGGTGCCGCAGGCGGAGTAGACGGAACAGCAGCGGGAGCAGACGGTCCTGCCTCCGACCCGGCAAGGGGATCCGCGGGTGCGTGGGGAGGAGTCTTTTCAACGACTGCTGTCACGAGTGTCGGAGCCGGCGGTAGAGGGGGCTTCGTCGCCATGGTCGCCCTTTCGGGCTCCGCCGGAGGCTTCGCGACCACAGCCGACCAGGCGGCAACGTGCCCTGGCGACGGCTCAGATACTCCGGCAATCACCATCCCTAGAGCAGGGTAGCCGCATGGCGAGGAGAGAAACCGTAAGCGGTACAGGCGGAGGGCCAGAGAATGGGTATCAGGCGGCAGCGCGTGCGACTTTAAACAACGTTGAAGAAACTAATGATGAAAATGAGCGGGACGACCCATCTTATAGGGAAGAAGCCCTCCCCGAGAGTGAGGAGGAGGAGACGGAGGGGGAAGGCATGGCGAGAGAAGGACCAAGGAGAAGGGAAGAAGTGGTGCAGCAGGCGGAATTGCAAGTACCACGGATGACACAGCCACCATCCGATGCTGATCGGACGGGTGCAAATCCAACCTCGGGCCCACCAATGAGATCGAGCCACGCTGGGAGAAATCGAACCGCCAATGTCGGTACAGCGGCGCGCCCACCAGCGTCAATTCCCCGCTACTTTTCACCAGACGAGCTAGCGAAGCGGACAGACCTGTTCGCAGCCATCGCGAACTGGGACATGCCAGCACTCTGCGATAGTCGTCAGCCACCACTGTCGCGGCGTTTACCGCCAAACCTGTGTCACCTTTTTTCGCTCGCGCTACTGACACCGTTACACCACCTATCGCGAAACCCTGATTCGGAAATGGGATGGCGCCTGCTGCTGTTTCTCCCGCGCCTGACGCTTCGCCAGACTTCGCCACTACGCCCAAACTGGCCAAGTGTCAAGAGCCGGCTCCGAGCTTTCCAGCGTGGCGAATGGGATCAGCTGTACCAAGACGCGTTGAATGCAGTCAACACACCGCCCCCGCCAAGACACCAACCAGATGTGACAGGTGTCATCAGCCGCGCAGAGAGCCTGGCGAAACGTGGCAGTCTGCGCCGAGCCGTGCTGGCCCACGAGTCAACGCCTGTCTGCACACCCAGCCCGGAAATATTGGAGGAGCTACGGCGAAAGCACCCACCTGCCGCAGACGAGGCAGTGACGTGGCCGGAGCCGCAGGGGTCAAAACTGTCAATCCCCCACCCTGACTTCGCAAAAATGTTAGGACGATGCGAGAATGGGGTCGGAGCCGGACCGTCAGGGATGACATTCGAGCACCTGCGCGACGCGGCGATCACCAACGCTATGGTCAGCACCCATCTGCACGCCTTGGTCAACACCATGCTGGAAGGGAAATTGCCTGACTCGGTTGCAAACCTGCTGACGGCGTCACGACTCATAGCCCTGGCCAAGCCAGGGGGAGGGGCCAGGCCAATCGCAATTGGCGAATGCCTGACGAGGCTGGCAGCGAAAGCCGCCCTGTTAATCATGGGAGAACCGGTCCGCGATTTCTTCCTACCGCTGCAGTACGGGGTGGCAGTTCCAGGTGGAGCAGAGACAGTGATCCACGCAGCACGAGCCTTCGCGGATGCCCGCCCGAACAGCCTGGTCCTACAAGCCGACATTTCAAATGCCTTCAACAGCATTTCGCGAACCGCCATCGCCAACGCGTTACACGAACCCGCCCTCTCGCCACTGCTGCCGCTCGTGAAATTGACCTACGGTAACCCGTCGCAATTATTACTGGATTCCAACTTCAACAGCGAACCACTCACAAGTGAACGCGGCGTGCGTCAGGGCGACCCCCTTGGGCCGCTACTGTTTGCAGCAGGGATACACGCCACGCTTCGAGAAACGGCCGAAGCACATTCTGACGTGCTGTGCTTGGCGTATGCGGACGACGTCACCTTCCTGGGTGACACATCCCGCACTGTAGCTGCATTCACACACTTCACCGCCAAGTTGGCACACCTGGGCCTCGAGCATAACCCACAGAAATGCGCTGCCTGGAGTTCAAGCACGATCGACACAGATTCCCTTCCGCCAGGAGTGCCGTTCTCTGAACATGGCGTGCGGCTGCTGGGTAGTTTCGTGGGGCAGGACAGCGGCGCAGCCCAGTTCCTAGAATCTCAACTCGCTGAGATGTCAAAGCCCCTACCCTTACTCGAGCGAGCAGACCCCCAGGTTGCAGCACTGCTACTCACGCGCTGCATCTCACGACGAGTTGCTTACCTCGCCAGGACAACACCACTCCATCTCTTCCCCCGGGATAAATGGAGCCAGTGGGGTAGGGATCTGCTTACCACGCTCCTCACATCGTGCGATATCCACTTCCCGACCTGCCGAACCGAACAGTCGCGGGTCTGGGAACAAGCGTCGCTGCCACCATCGTTAGGAGGCCTGGGCATTACTGACCCACTAGTCGAGGGGATCTACGGCTTCATAGCAAGGTTCACGCAGGCGGCACTCTATATCAGCTCCCTACCGCTAGAACACGATAACGCCCTCGCACTAGCACGGAACCATATGCTACTGCCGCCGGCTGACAGCACACCGCTACACACCTGGCTGACCGAGTGCGAGGAGGCACTGCCGTTAGATGCGCGGGAGATTCTGGAGAAGGAGCGGCTGGAGCGGTCTGACATCCGGCTCCAGCATGTGCTAGGACTCAAGGTCCACGGAAGCCGATATGCAGTCCAGGTGCGGGCGACGAGGCGTATGAAGCCGAATCCGCTTGCGGGTCACACGCAGCGGATGTTTTCACTCACTGGCTACGGCACAGGCGATTGGCTCACCGCGATTCCCATCGCTCCCACAAGGCGGATAGGGCCAGTGCACTTCGCCAACGCCGTACGCTTCCGTCTTGGCCTACCGTTTTCAACTCCCAAAAACTGTGACTGCGCAGAACACACGGCTATCACTGACCCCCGCCTCCCGAACCACCTGCTCCGCTGCGGCACAGGCAAGCATCTCACAAACACGCACAATGAGCTGCGCGACGCCTGCGTTAGCATGGCGCAAGACGCGGGGTTTATCGTACATAGGGAGTCAGCGGCCCACTGCCCTATCGAGGAGCAAACCGCCGACTTCACCATGACTGATAGGAGCAGTGGGGCGGTTTACATCTGCGATGTTACCATCACTGACCCCATCAGCACAAGGGACCCGGAAGCACAGAAGGGCAGGGGATGGGCGGCACGGGAACAGGCCGACAAGAAAATCAAGCATTACGCCAACCGCCCAGAGACGGTTGGCTTCTTCCCCCTTGCAGTTGACACCTACGGCTGTCCTTGCGCCGAGGTGCCTGTTTTCCTCAAGCTCCTGGCAGACACAGCGGCTCGGCGCCACTTCAACGCCGACTCAAAATCCTACTATGCCGCCAAGTTTCTGCACCAATTCAGGCAACGGTGGTCGGTGGCCCTGCAGAGAGCACAATCCGTGGGACTCCTCCTTAAGTTGGGCAGAAAACCCCCCCGTGGGGGGCATAGGGCAGGAGCTGCACCTTGGGGATTGCTTCGCGGTAGTTGAGCCTTTTCTGGAGCTCTAGAGAGGGCGGTGGTGTGGTCGTTGTGTGGCTGGTTGGTGTTGTTTGTTTGTTTGGTTAGCTAGACCTTGCCATCCATATCTTGCATGTCTGTACCTTCCAGCTCTATCAATATACGGACCATTAGAGAGAGAGAGAGTGAGAGAAGAACGGGAGCGCTCGCGGGGGGGCCGTTAAGGGACAAACTAAGGCCCGTGGGGGCCGCGCTACGGGACGGACGAAGGCCTGCGGGGGGGCGCGGTACCTGCCGAGGGCGCTACAGGCAATGGGCGGCGCACGGACGGCGAACGGGCGGCTAACGGGCGGCTACCGGGCGGCTAGCATGTGAAACCCTAGAACGAGCGAACCAACGGGCGGCGAGCGCGCTACGGGCGGCTATCGAGCAACGAACGGGGCGTGCGGAGGTGGTCCCATGGGAACGAAGTAAGCTGTACATCGCGAAAAAGGGAAGTTGCGAAAATTGGCCTCCGAAGGTTTTTCTGCGTAAACCTTGCGTACAAGTTGCGGAAAGTTGCGAAAACACAACGCACGGAAGTCGCAACATTCTGTACACCAGTTGCTTTTCCGTCAACCTTTTCGGGTCAGTCGGTGTCGCGCGGTTGAAAGAGTTTGCATGCGGTTTTGCAGAGTGACGAGGGCAAAGAAATGTAACCACAAATTTAACGAAACAAAACGAACCCACGAAGTCAAGCGAGTTCAAAAATTGCATACATTGTTTTCGTGTACTCTCAAACCTGAACCTTGACCACCCAACCCTCCGCATGCACGCAAGCTGGTATCTTCTGAAGTGTGACGTGGGATCCAGAAAATTAATTTACAGCCAATCATTGTTGTTTCTGGATACAGTCAATCAATCCCCACCCTCCGATGTATCAACACGTCAGCAGACGCAACCAAACCAAACATCCACCCAAGCCACCCCTGTCATTCAACCCCTAAGCTCGACACATCAGCACAGCACACCGCACCACCAACCAAGTCTTCTTCCTCACACCACCAACCCAGTCCCTCCAAAGACCTTCGACTCCCTTCAATTGCAGGCTCTCTGTTTTTTTGTTTGTAGTTCCTGAAAAGCGCTTCCGCAGGTCCTCTCACACAAGCAACCTATATCTAGACTTAACTTGCCGGCTCAAGGTCCTTACCTAAGTCGCTTATGGTAACCTCGCGCTCCGTTTGACACCCTTGTTTTTCATCCCTCTTCCGTCCCCTATCCCTATTCTCTGTCAAACTTATATGCTATAGTCTGTGTAGGCTGTAGTGGGGTAGTTCATATGGGGTACAACACTTTAGGGTTTCCTACTTGTACTCCTCATGCTGCTCAATGCAATCATTCCTCGTTCTGTTCTTCACATGGTTTCAGAGTAGGTTCCCTAGTGGGAACGAATTTTTTTAGGGCCCACCACTGAAAATTTCCTACCTGCCCGGAGCGCGCTGTTGCGCCTGCCTTGCCTGCGCCGTCATGCGCCCTGCCCTGCTGTCGCGCTAGTCGCGACCCTGCCTTAGCCGCCCGTCGCGGCCCTGCCTTGTCGCCGCCCGTCGCGGCCTGATCCGCCGCTCGTTGCGGCCCTGCTTTGCCGCCCGTCGCGGCC